CATGTGCTCAACTCTCAGTGGTTATTTTATTTTTTTTTAAGATTTTATTTATTTATTTGTCAGAGAGAGAGAGAGGGAGAGAGAGCGAGCACAGGCAGACAGAATGTCAGGCAGAGGCAGAGGGAGAAGCAGGCTCCCTGATGAGCAAGGAGCCCGATGTGGGACTCGATCCCAGGACGCTGGGATCATGACCTGAGCCGAAGGCAGCTGCTTAACCAACTGAGCTACCCAGGCGTCCCCTCAGTGGTTATTTTAAAAGGTGCCCCTAGGAAAAGCAAAGCGGGAACTTAGGGTGGGTTTGGGGCAGGGGGAGCCGGGCCTCCTGAACTCTGATCCTTGAAAATGGCCCGGCCACCAGGCACCTGGGTGGCTCAATGGGTTGAGCCTCTGCCTTCGGCTCAGGTCATGATCTCAGGGTCCTGGTATCGAGCCCTGCATCAGGCTCTCTGCTCAGCAGGGAGCCTGCTTCACTCCCTCTCTCTCTCTGCCTGCTTCTCTGCCTACTTGTGATCTCTGTCTGTCAAATAAATAAATAAAATCTTTAAAAAAAAAAAAAAAAGAAAAGAAAGAAAGAAAGGAAATGGCCCGGCCTCTGGGCACCAGCAGGGCTGCCAGACTGCGAAATGGCCAAGCGGCAATTCAAAATCTCACCTCAGAAAAGGAAGGACAGCTTGCAAGTCAACATTTATCAGGACCAAGAGAATCGTTCTTGGATCCACCTGTTTCGGTTTGTAAAGCATCTTAACCTGAACCAGCCTGAAATGGAGAAATCTTAACTGGCACTGGACAACACCATAATGAAAGATGGAGAGCCACAAACTGAAGGCAGGTGGTGGGGAGGAGCTCTAGCAACGAAGCGAGTATGCTCATGAGAGAAGCAGGGAGTAGCGGTTAAGATGGTGGCCCAGGAGCTTTTCACTTAGTAGCTGCACGTGACCTTCTGTGACTTAACCTCTCTGTGCCTCATTCTTCCTCTATACAATGGGAAAAAAAAAAACTGGATCTGCTCCACAGTGTTGGAAAACACTTCGGAGGTGCCTGGACAAAGCAAGGGCTCTCTATATGCAAGTGACTGTTAGCATTTGGATCAGTCAGTAAGTTAAAACTGGTGCATGTCCCAAGGATTCTTGGGCAACTTTAAAAGGCAGGTAGGATATTTTGTTTTATAGGGACCATTTACCTGTTACAAAGCTTCTATCATTCAGATGTGTTCACTTTTACCCTGAACACAAGGGCTTAGTGACTGGTTGCTCAGAAAACATGGTAGAGCAAAGCTGAGGGGTCCTCATCTCACCAGCTGGTTTGTGTAAGTTGTTGTTGTTTTTTTTTAAAGATTTTACTTATTCATTTGACAGACAGAGATCACAAGTAGGCACAGAAGCAGGCAGAGAGAGAGGGGGAAGCAGGCTTCCTGCTGGGCAGAAAGCCCGATGTAGGACTCGATCCCAGGACCCTGGGATCATAACCTGAGCCGAAGGCAGAGGCTTTAACCCACTAAGGCACCCAGACGCCCCTGGTTTTTGTAAGTTTTAACATGGGAACGGGATACAGTGTGGAACGTTTTTTGTCTTTACAGCTTGTGTTATGTCATGGGACTAGCTGCATATGGGCTGTTTTGTAATTTCTCTGCTAGAGACTTGGGGAAGCCCACCTGCCGGTCCTCCATAGATGAAGGGAAAACGGTGATGGGTATAAATGAGAGAAGCAGTGACTGGTAGTCTACCATGCCCCATGATGCTCAACTATAGACAAACATTTTTTATTCACTCCCCCAAAGAGAGGAGGAATCTCAAATCCTGCTCAGACCTCGTAAGTCATTCAACAGTGAAGAAGCAAAATCTCACCATCAGAGTGCTCAGAAGCCAATGTGGATAAAATATGATTATTACTTAAAGTTATCCGGAGTAGAAATGGATTCTGAAGAACCACCTTTCTTTTTTTTTTTTCAAGATTTTATTTATTTATTTGACAGACAGAGATCAAAACTAGGCAGAGAGGCGACAGAGAGAGGGGGAAGCAGGCTCCCTGCTGAGCAGAGAGCCCAATTCGATGCGGGGCTCGATCCCAGGACCCTGAAATCATGACCTGAGCCGAAGATAGAGGCTTAACCCACTGAGCCACCCAGGCGCCCCGCTGAGCCACTTTTCTGATCAGCCCTCCCCCTAGGAGCTCCGAGCCTTTCACTTGCTGACCTGTACTGAGAGCGTGTGCCCTGCTCTTGGCAAAGAGGGTCAGGGAAGACCAGGACCTCTCTGAATGGCCTGTGAGCTGAGACCACAAGCATGTGAGCCACAGACCCCTCTGCCACACTCTCTCTTACTGCCCTGCCCTGTCTTTGCTTGTTGAATCATCCTGAATCATCGACCTCACCTGAGTGTGTATACCAAAGGGGCAGAGACCATATCACTCCCCTTACCTGCTACCCACACCTAGATGGGGCCTGACACATAGTAGGTGCACCATAAATAGAGAATGACAAGGTACACACCAACTGGGGAGTTCTCAGAAAGGACATTTCCTTCCTACCGCTCCATACTCCTGCCAGTGCTGAACAGAAGCTTGGGCAGGTGTTGGGTGTCTGGGTGGCTCGGTCAGTTAAGCTTCCAGCTGTTGCTCTTGGCTCAGGTCTTGATCTCAGGGTGCTGGGACCGAGCTCTGCATTAGGCTCTGCGCTCAACATGGAACCTGCTTGAGATCCTCCTCTTCTGCTTCTCTCCCCTCTGTCTCTATCTCTGTTTCTGTCTCTCTCTTTCTCTCTCTAAAAATAAATAAAATCTGAAAGAACAAAAGAAAGAGAGAGAAAGAAAGAAGGAAAGATGTAAGTTTGGGTAGGTGAAAAGGGCAGCAAGGAGCAGAGGCCCAACTTTGGGAAGCTTGGCCACCTGAAGAGTCCAGGGGCAGGGAGAAAAGAAATGTTAGCTGGCATGCAGTTGGCATAGTCAGCTCAGGCTACTAGAACAAAATGGCATAGCAGGGGGCTCACACTATAGGCATTGCTCTCTCACGGTTCTGGAGGCTAGACATTGATGATCAAGGTGCTGACAGATCCGGTGTGTGGTGAGAGCCCGCTTCCTGGCTCGCAGATGGCTGCCTCCTCACTTTACCCCACATGTGGAGACAGAGCAACCTCTAGCCTCTTTCTCCTCTTAGAAAGACACGAATCCTACCATGGAGGCTCCACCCTGACGACCTCATCTAAATCTGAATACCTCCGGAGGGCCTTTCCGATACCTTCTAATACCTCCAATATCGAACACCTCCTAATAGCATCCTACTAGGGGTTAGGGTTTCAACATACGAATTTGGGGAGACTCAAACAGGCAGTCTATAACAGGTGAATGTTTACACCATACTCGGAACCCCAGGAGACTCTTTGCACAGATTATTTCATGTAACCCTCGCACCATCCCATAACTTGGGAATCGTTACCTTGCACCAGACGGATGGGGAACCCAAGGCCTTGAGAAACGGATCATACAGGTAGTGGAAACAGAGTCAACCTCCAGGCCTAAATCTATCCTGTCTCCAATCCCACAAAGCGGGGCCAGCTCTGTGGCCGTTCTTTCATGCCAGCCTTAATCCAGCTCTTCCAAGAGCGGGAAAAGAACGAGCCCAAGGAAGCGCCTGGCCCCGGCCCCCTCCCAGCTCTGCCGCAAAAACGGCTGTGGGGCCTGCCACCTGTCGCTGCTGGTTGCTGGTCTCCTCACCTGTGAAATAAGAGCGTGGGTCAGAGGAGCTCAGGTGGATGGTGCCCAGGCCTTCAGCTCTGCGTGTCAGCCTGGGACTGCCTCCCACCCTCCCCACTCCCAGAACTGAGCCCGCAGCTAAAAAGAACAGGCACCAGCTCCATTTGGATCCATTTATTGACAAATCGAATGAAAAATCATATAAAAGGGTATACGATCGTAAATGTGGTTAACAGCGAGGGTGGGGGGAGGGAGACGGGATATGGGTCCAGCATGGAGGAGCAGGGGGAGGTTGGCATACCATCGGAGGGAGGAGGCAGAGAAGCGGAAACAGGGAAAAGAGGAAAGAAGGTATCTGCTAGCAATCCCACAGCTCACCTTTCATTTCTCAGCTGTAACCCATTCTCTCCTGGACAGAATGGACAGCTGGAAATGGTTTAAGAGTAACATCCAAGCAGTTTGTCTATAAGAGCTGAGAGATGGGGACTTAGAGAGGATTCTGAGGGATTCCCTCCCTTGAACCTGCCGCCACCACTCTGTTTAAAGCGAACTGAGAGTTGGGAAGCAACTCAGCCACCAACTAGCTGTGTGACTTTGGGCACACGGCTTCCCCCTTTGGGCCTCTTGGTAAAACCAGCAGATTGGACACGACAGTAGGCAATGTCTAGCTCTAGCAGTGCCAAGTGCTTTGGCAATCTGGGCCGGGCCAGGAGACTGGCTCCACTTTGGAGAAATAGAACGACTCAAAGGCCCCGCCAGAGTGACACGGTGCTGGCCTTCACCTGGAACTACTCTGTTGGTGGAACTGGCAGCCACTCAGAGGGGTCAGTGTTAAGCATACACACCTAGGAGAAATTCACTCTCCCTACAAGATATTTCTGCAGAGTGGCTCGGAGGGAGCTGAGGTTTGCTGTACACATAAGGCAGGTGCCGGGGACAGGTGATCCAACCAAAGCAGCCACACACGGTGCAGGGTCTGGGGGACACATGGCACAGTAGACATGGGAGGAGAGGGCTGTGGGCTTTGGGGTGTGGTTGGGAGGGAGAGCCATGCCAGCACGTCACCATGTGCCAGACTGCTCATTTCAGATGCCCTGCCCCCCTTGAAACAGAGGCCTGGGCCCCTAGGTCTAGCTGAAGTAGCTTGTCAGATAGAGATGCCACAGCTGGCATCGAGATCCTTGACTTCTGTATGTTGACACCATTGAAGCAGGGAATGGGGACGTGTCTCCATTGGCTGGAGCCAACTGAGGTAGGCTGACTGTCTCCCCTTAACATTCCCCTGTGACAAGTGGGATGCTCTATGTGGCCAGCCATACTCCTACCCCGGCTCCGAGCCCCGGGCTCAGGACGGCCAGCCCCTCCTTGACAGCTGGGCAGACCTAGCCTGGCCTGAGGAAGGTGGCCATGTGACTGGGAATGGGCTGTGACAACCTCATGGATTTGTGTCAGCTGTGATAACTCGAAGGGCAAAGGGTCCCCAAATGAACAGTTCAGGGGAAGTCCACATTACAGGAGGGAATGTAGTTCCGATTCTGAGGCCCAGAATCACACCAGAAGTAAAACTCTGGGGGGCATGTATATATACATGCCCGCGTGTGACAGGATGATGGAAATACTCAGGGAAAGACATTGAGCCTGGCCTACCCTTCCCCCAGGGTGAAATCGCCAGAGGCCCATATCTCACAGCCTTTGACACATTCTCCCAATACCCCAAACTGGGGATGTTTCCATAGGGACACCTGTCCCCAGTTCAAGGCAATTCAGCAAAGCTTTGTGAATTAACTTCTCCATAAAAGGCACAACCGAGGCCCCCAGGGGGCTGTGAGACCACTCCCCGGGGCTGGGGGAGGCCTAGCAGCAAAAGCCCAGGACCTTGGAGTGGGGGGCTCTCCCACCACCCCGGTCATTGCTCCAAGACCTTGAAGGATAGGGGTGTGCCGCTCTTGGCAAAGGCCTTCATCAGACTGCTAGGATAGATGCAGCCAAGCTTCTCTGGAGTTGGGAAGCCCCAGACCCTGTAGAGGGACAGGCTCAGGCGATCCCCAATATAGAAGGGGCCCACCCATTTGGCACTGCTGCCATTCCTGGGGAGGGACAGCAAAAGGACTTGGTCACCCACATTCCACTCCTTCTCCTGACTCTCCCGCTTGAAACGCCTGTTCTCTGCCTTTTCACTAGCCTTGTCAGCCACCCGCCAGTGCAGCTCCAGCAGCTCCCCAATGAGCTGCAGCAGGAAGACATCCATCTTGAGGCCTTCAATATTGGCACTGCTCATCTCCCACCACAGGGGCTTGCTGAGCCTCACTTCGTCTCCCGTCAGGATCTGGACAGGCGTGGCCTGGGTGGAGGAGGCCCTGAAGGCCAGGTGTAGCAAGGGCAGGGAGGCTGCCCACTTCTTGCCATGCAGGAAGATGAACTCCTTGAGGGCCCTCTTGAATTCCCAGTAGGCGTCGGAGCTGGTCAGGCAGGGGAACTGGAGGTCCCGGCTAAGGGAGGCTGCCTGGGCTCCCAGCGCCAGCCCACAGCTCACCAGGACGTGTCGAGCGAACTGGGGGCCCTGGGCAGCCTCCAGCTTCACAGGGACGCCCCACCTGGCAAACACATGCTGCAGCAGCACCTGGGCCACCGCTGTGTGTGTGTAGGGCTTCAGCGGGAAGGCCTCCACCCACCTGGTGTTGGGGTCGGCCACGATCAGCACATGCTTGTGGCCCTCCTCACTGATGGTGATGGGGCCCACCACCTCGATCTGCAAGGTGGACCAGGGGGCAGTGGACCTGAGAGGCCACGGGGACTCAATGACCTTCAAGTCACTGCCGGTGAGGTTCCGTGGGATACAGAACAGGCAGCTCCGGCAGTAGTCCCTCACATGCTCCTGCATCCCGGGCCACCACCCCAGCAACCGCAACTTCTTGTGGGTCTCCTCGGGCCGCTGGTGGCCACCCAGGGGCAGGTCATGCACAGAGAAAATCAGGTCCCTCCGGAGTTGCCTCGGGACCACCCAGACTCTGGGCCTCTTATCCCCCTTGAACATGAGCAGGCCGCTCTCCTGGTCGAGGCTGAGGGAGTTAAAGACAGAACTGAAGGGGGAGGAGCCGGGCAGTTTCTGCCCGACCCGGAGTTTGGCAATGACCTCAGCCAAGGTGCTGTCACTCTGCTGCAATGCAAGCAAGTCAGGCCTCTTGCCCATGGTGTGGGGGGACAGGACGGGGACCGGCACGTCCTTGGGCGGGTCCCACCACTGCCCACCCCCCTGTGCGCCCTGTTTGGCCAGGGTGTCCACTGTCACGGCAAACAGGGAGCCCCTGTAGGAGGTTCGGTAGATAAATGGGAGGGAGGAGAGGCCAGAGGTGAGCGAGATGATGTATGAGAGCAGGCTTGGGTGAGGTAGCGGGGCCCCGTCTGAGGAGAGGAAGCCTCGAGCCCTCCACAGGGGCAGGAGCTCCCAGAGGAGGCTGAAAATCCAGTTGCAGTGCGTGAGGAAAACCACGGGGAGGCGGGACTGGCCGAAGCGCTCCAGGCCACAGGCCACGGCTGCCAGGTGGGCATAGGTTGGTGTGTAAGGGGAGCAAGAGAAGGAAAGGGAGACTGGGGCGCTGGTGGGAGACAGGACGTAGAGACCAAAGCCGGCACACCACTCGTCCTCACGGTAAAAGCAATAGCCCGACATGTGGATGCAGACGAAAGTAGACAGGTCGGAAAAAGGAGGCAGGACCTGGAAAAAGCGAGGCATCGAGGATGCGGGCGTCAGCAGCCGGTTTTCTCCCAGCAGGCCTTGGAGAAGGGTCAATTCCAGGGCCCTCTTGCCTTTGTCCTGTACCAGGAGGGACCATCGGATCAACCACGCTTTGGAAACCCTGCGGCCCTCCCGTGCCTCGGGGCCCACGGTGGTCCGGGAGGCGTAGGAAAGGTCCAGGACCACTGGGGTGTCTCCAATGCAGCGGGAAAAATGTTTGAGGGCCCAGGCAACAGCATAGGGGCTGTCTCCCCCTGACTGGGGGCCCTCACTCTCCTCGTCAGGGAGGAGAGGTTTTGAGGTATAGGCTATGGGGTGCTTCCTCCCTGAGTGCTCCTGATAGACGACGGCCGTCAGGGCCACCTGGCTCACTGTCACCTCCAGACGGAAGGGCAGCTGGGCATTGGGGGCCGTCAGACAGAGGGCAGACACCAGGGCTCGCTTCAGAGCCAGGAAGGCCTTCTCGTGCTCCCAGTCCCACTGCCAGTCTGGCTTCTGCTTGAGGAGGCTGTGCAGGGGACCCACGAGAGCTTCATAGTCGGGGATGACATCACGGTGGGAGTCCATGAACCCCATGAAGAAGGACAGGGCAGTGAAGTTGCTAGGGATGGTCAGCTGAGCCAGCTGGGCCAGGACCTGCTGGCAGGGCGCCTTCCCGTCCCAGGGGATGCCCAGGTAAGGAGAAGCTGGCGCAGGCAGAAGATCAACGTCTAGCGCCCCGTCTGGGGGGTCGTGGAGGCTGAGGCACCGGAGGATTTCCTCAGAAAGAGAAGAGCACTCAGCCCTGAACACTGAAGCCAGGGAGGAGTCTGGGGCGTCTTCTTCAGGCAGCTCCTGCGCCCCCTGCCCCTCCCTCTGCTCCTCGTCTTGCCCCTCCTCCTTCTCCTCCTGGACGTCCTCTATATTCGGCAGACTCTCGGGAGGTGCAAGGTCGACACCATTGCTAGGCTCAGAGGTGCTGGCCGAGCTGGGAGGAAGGGTCTTCCACACCTTCAAGAAGTTGCCCACATCAGTGTCCAGCCTACACCAGAAGAGCAGAGCGGAGGCACTAAAGGGCCTTGTGGAGGACAGAGGGGCCCCGCAGCGGAAAACCACATCTGCAGAGCCTTGCCTCATGGCCAAGTGTCCCTGAGGCCAGGCCAAGTGCCAGCCAGGGACATGGCAGAGCCTCTGTCAGGACCCCACCCACCGCCACCCCCTCCACCTCCAGTGTGGGCTGGGCCTCCATGTCAGAGATGCAGTTGCCCCCTGAAGCCTCATCCAACCAAATCCTCATTAACCAAGCAACGTTTTCAACCAGATCTAAGCTGATGACTTGGTAAGAGTGAGGCGACTGGCACTTCCAACTGGCCCCAAGGACGAGCAAGCCAGGGGAAGATCAAGAGAGGGAACGGGGCCCGATGAGGGATCGGGAGGGGACAGCAGACAAACGCAGGGAGATGAAACTGAGCTCGCGTGCCCTGGGAACAATCACTGTCCATAAGGTCCTGACCAGAGTTCCCTGTGGAGCCCCGGCAACTGGGAGGTGGGCAGTAAGGTAGCTCAGAGGGAGCGGATACCAGGGCATCTGAGTTACTGCAAACCTGGCCCGGGATGACGGTCATCTATGTCTAACCCCAGCTGTGAGAATCAAAGACAATACATAGGGGGGAAAATCCACCAGAATGGACTCTAGCACAGCTGGCCTCGTTCACCAGGAAACAAGAATGAGGCTGTCCATGGCAGCACCAGTGTGATAGCATAACATGGAAAATGTCAAATGAGCCTCAAGGAAAGATTCGCTACATCTGCTGGGTACTTGTGGAATGGAATGCCACACAGCCATTAAAATGAATCACGTGAATTCACGTGGCGTGGATCTGGGGAAAAAAACAATAAGACGTTGAGTACAAATGCCAGCTGTGGCAGGGTGCGTGCAGTATGAAAGCACGTGGGCAAAACTGGAAAACTGAAAACCACTCTACGGTTGGTTTATGGAGGCATCAATGCGGGAGAAGCGTGAAGACCTGAAAAATCTAACTACTCTGCTCATCGTTAAGCACTAGACAAACGTTGGCTAACACTGAGGCGTTTCTGGTCGGTCCCGGGGTGGGGGAGGTAGGGGCTGGGAAGCAGCAGAGGCCCAGCCCATTACCTGTTTGGCTTCTTCAGAAACTCGTCCAGGGTGGGACCATCACGGCCCAGGGGGTCATCTGGCACCATGAAGAGATTCCCCGCAAAGGTAAATGGTAGCAGGCTGGACCCGGAAGAGAGGAGACGCGGTCATAGGGGAGGCCTTGACCCACCCATAGCCCCATTGCCCTCCCGGGTGTCCGTACAGGGGTTGAGACCCCCATCTCCTCTCACAGGCAGGTGCTGGTGGGCACAGCGCCAAGGCCCCTCTCCCGGGCCCAGCACCCACTGCCACGGGCTGCCTGACATCCCCAGGCAAGGAATGGCTCCACCCCGGGGAATGACCTCACCGATCTTTGACCATCAGTTTCTTGGAATTATTCATCAGGATGTGGAGCTGCTCATTGGTAACGATGATGCCGTCTGTCTCCTCTGCCAGCTTCACCATGAACCTGCAGGGAGAGGGGCTGCTGCTCACCACCCGGAAAACCTCCCTTGCCAGGCCTTCTGGGAAAATGAACTCACAGTGCACGTGGAGGTGTGCTGACCAAAGAGGTTGCCCTGGTGGTCGGGGAGCCAGGGCTCGGGAGCCCATGCCCTTGTCTATGCGGCCATCCGGGGTCACCACTAGCCCCTGAGAGGGGGAGGTTGGATGCACACCCCAACCATATAGGGGTCTGTGCTTGTATGTACAGACCCCTACTGAAGAGACACACATTCACAAACACATGCACAGACACGCACACGGGAACCCGCACACTCACCCGCATTCACACATGCGTTTTTTACCGCTACCGTTTCCACATAGACAAAATGGACGAAAAATACCTACCCTGTATGGCTGTGAGGATTAAACTAAGTGAGACAGGACACTGAAGTGCCTGCCTCAGTGCCTCCCACACAGCATGCACACAAATATTCCTTTATTCCTCTTCACCAGTGCACAACATTCCCATACGTGCCAAGATAGACATACATACGTCTCTATGTACGTATACACGCTACATATACACACCTGTGTGTATGTATGTATATACATATAACCATATATAAAAACACATACCTGAATAAACAAATCCACTTTTCCAAGGATCACCTCTCCTTGAAAGAGGGCTGTGACCAGGAAAGAAAGCAAAGGCCACCTACTTCTCGGCATTCCCCGGAAGTGGCCATTCTGGTGGCCGCAAGCATGCTATTCCACAAGTGCCCAGCAGAGGGGCCTCTGCGGAAAAAGCCACCTTCCCTCAAAGCCAGCCCGGAAATTGGAGGCACTTCAAGAGCTTACCAAAGGGCCTAGCCCTTGAAGGAGGGATGCCTGGGCTATCATGCCCAGCCCTTCCCAGGCTGGGTAGAGGCCAGGTCTTGGGAAAAGTGGGCAGAAGCCGAACTTCTCAGTGCCCAGCACAGGAGGTGCCTAAGGGCAGCCAAGACCTGCGTGTGCCCGGCATCGGCTCCAGCCTAGGACCAGTGACCAGGGCAGGACAGTCCCTACCCCGACAGAGGCAGCATCACAACCCTCCCCCGCACCACCCCGCACCCCCGCCCGGTGCATACTGGTCCTTCAGCCACGCTGGGGACTAGGTGTTTAGGACTGACAAGTAGGGAGGCCCTAGGGCTTTATCGAGGAGACAGGGCCAGTCAAACCCCATTTTCAGAGCCCAGCCAGGGCTCCAAGCACATACAGTCACACACATGCCTCCTCCAGGTGCCAGGGCTGGAGGGAGGAAAAGACTAAGGCAGTGCCTTGAGACATGAACTTTAGCCCAAACTGGGGCCCTGAATCAGTCACTTGGGGAAGCAGCTCACTGGAAACACCGGAAGTCCCCTGGGCTAATCCTACCCAAAGTGGTGGGTCTCAACTGATAGGTCACAGAAGAAGAAAGCCTGTTGACTAAGGGAATGCAGCTGCAGAGTCCCAAAATCGGACTCACCCTTGGCCTTGGGGAGGGCCAATCTTGGAGCCCTCTCCTCATGGTGTCCCTCCCTCTGCCTCCAGAGGGCCCCACACCCCAGGCCATCCTCTCCAACGTGCCCCTTGTGCCCCTCGGAAATGCCGGCCTCCATCTCCCCAGAGCAGGGGAGGCAGGACCCCGCCTGACACAACTGCCCAGCTCCCCCCCACCGCCATGCCCCCAGCCCGCCCCCTGAGCCCTACAGAAGGCAGGCCTGGGACTGGCACACCTGTAGTCGTAGGTGGTGATCTTCTTGCCGTTCTCAAGCTGGGAGGGGGTGATTGAAAGCATCTTGAGGGAGTGCAGCTTCGTCAGGAAGTGGCTCTCTGGAGGCGAAAGGCAAAAGACAGAGATGCTCAGAGGACAGGCCACCAGGCAGAGGCCATGGTCGAGACGGAGAGGCAGCGGGCAGCTCACCTCTCACCCTCCGGTTCTTCTTCAACTGCCAGGTGGGTACGAACACAGTGACCTCTCGGTGGCCCCGGTTCCAGAAATACTGCACCGCCATGGCAATGCCACGGCAGGAGAAGAAATGCTGGAGGCCATGCCTGGAGGGGCGGGAGGGCGGGCAGGAGGTGAACAAGTTCCTCCTGAGGAACATGGCCCTGCCCCTCCGCCCTCCCTCAGAGCCAGGCAATGCCACGCACCCGCATCTGTGCCAGCAATGCCCTTGTCCCATTCCTCCATCACCGAACATTCTGGAAAGACCCACTCTGTAAGTGTGTGTTCGCATGCTTGGTTGGGGGGTACGTTGCGCACCTGTGTATGTGTGTGCGTGCACGCGCGTGCACATGTGCATGCGCATGAATAGGGCCCTCCAGGGCAAGAGGAAAAAGAAGGCAACCTCTACACCCAAAGAACTCAATTCAGGGCTAGAAGCAAATGAGCAGCCATTGCCACTAAGTGTCTGCTGGGAGCACGATCAGCACAGTAACTCCCATCCTCTGTTGGGAACGACCACAGGTCTCCGACACACCTGGGCGAACACGTGTACAGCAGTAAGTGCTGGGCAGGCAGGATGGTCTCTAAGGGTTGGTTAGCGGAGGCAGGAAAGGCCACATAAAGGACACCTGGGCTGGGCCGCCAGGCTCCGGCTCAACACTGACCGCTGGCCTGGGGTTGACAAACACCGTACCACGTGGGGCAGGCTGCAGTGGGAGCACAGGCCTTGGCAAGGGACAGATGGGAAGCCAAGGCCAGCCAGGCCCCCTACTAGGCTCTGGAGTCTGGGGCAAGATTCGTCACCTCTTTGGGCCTGGCTCTGCTTCCATCAAAGAGGAAGAAGAGAAATCTCCCTTCGCGGGGCTGTCTTAACCTTTCCGTGCACACTGTCGTTTCCCCATTTGAACCCTGTAGCCCCACCCGCAGAGGTCAAGAGGGGATGCCAAACTCTGTCCCCCTGGGCCACCCCATGCCCATGGGTACTCACACCATGGCCACACTGCTCCCATCGATGACCACTCGCCGCAGGCCCTGGTTCCCGGGTTCCCCCGACAGGTTCAGCTCAAAAGGTGTGTTCAGGGCCTCGTGGTACCTCTGGAAGCTGGTCACCGTGCTGTTTGCCTGCGGGTGGCGAGGTGGCTGCCTCGGGGCCCCCTCCCGCGCCCCCAGGAGCCCCCCCGTCTGAGCTTGGTGCTTACGACCGGGAGCCGAGGTGCTGCCAGACTGGGGGCCCTGCCTTTCGGCCTCCCCCTGGCCCTTTGGGAAGGAGGCGTCACCCCTTGACGAAGACTGACCCTCGCTCGGGAGTTTGGCTGCACCCGAGACCGGCCCCGGATCTGCGAGTGTCTTCTGAGCCACAGGAGTTTTAGGAGCTCTGGAGGCTTTGGAGCCAGCAGACCCTATTTTGGCTACAGGCCCAGTTTGGGCTTTGGGAGTTTTGGGCCCTGCAGGTGACGATTTCGCTGAAGGCGTTTTCTGAGCTGCGGGAGCTTTTGGATTTGCAGGTGCCCCTGGAGCTGCTGATGCCGGCGGAGCCACGGCTGTCTTCTGAGCCGAGGGCACCCCTGGAGCTGCTGGCTTCGTGGGGGCCGAAGGCACTTCAAGAGCTGCAGGTTCCGCAGGGACTGCCAGCGTCGTCTGGGCTGTAGGCACTTTGGGGACTGCAGGCAGCCCCTGATCCGCAGGTGGGGTTTGAGCTGTGGCCACTGCTGCAGCCATGGGCACTTCAAGAGTTTCAGGCACTGTTTGAGCATCAGGTACTGATGGCACGGTCGGCCCCCCTTGAGCCACGGGCCCCCCCTGAGCTGTAGACACTCCTTGCCCTGGCAGCAGCGCCGGAAAGGGCCCCTCTTCTGGCCCCTTACTGTCCCACTGCCCACTTCCTTGATCCCCCGGCTCACTTCCAGTTTGCAGCGGCGGTACAGAGGTCAAGGGGGGCCCTATCTGGGGAAGTCCAGGGCTAGTCTTGTCCTTTACACCTGAGCCCCCTGAGACCACCAATAAACTCATGACTTTCGGGGGGGTCTCCGGCCTCGGGCAGTTCTGTAGGGCTGCCTCTCCTCCTGGTCCCGCGTCTGGTCTGCACTCGGGGCTTTCCATGCTGGGCAAAGGAACCAGCTCCTTCTGCTTCCACTCGAGATTCAAGGGCAAAGGATTCTGCCCTGGTAGCTTGAACTGAATGGGGCCCAGGGGCCTCTGCCAGAAGGGGAAACTGAAGCATGCCTGGGACAGGAGCCAGGCCAGGTGGAGGGAGTGCAGCTCATTGATCCTCCAGAAGGTGGCGGCGATAGCCCCTGGCCACAAGGGCCCAAAGGCTGGCCCCGGGGTCCAGGCCTTCCAGGGCGGGCACACGCCCAGGGCTGACACCGGAGGCTGGAAGGGGAGTTTGTCTTCCACTCTGTGGCCTGGCTTCTGCTGGGACAGTGCCTGTGCATGGGACGCAGAGTCCTGGCTGCTGGTGGCTCGCGCTGGCCCTTCCTCTCGACCACTGTCTGCACCACTGTGGCTGTTGGAATCGACCCTGGAAAAAGCCCAGGTTTATTGGAAGGGTGGTTAGACCATGAAAGTCCCCCACAACTTCCTTGGGGTGGGGGAGCAGGGAGAGGATCAGAGAAGCAGAGAGCTTCTTCAGCAGAACTTACCGTACCAGCTGGTTCGCCGTTTCCTGTTGTGTGTTCTGGCCTGGGGCACCCAAGACCAGGGCCCTGGTGGCTCCCAGGCTGGTTAACCTCTTGGAATGTTCTAGACTCCTGTTCTGGAGGGTCCCCACCTCCAGGAAGGGCCCAGGACCGTCTCCCACAGACACCATGGCCGGGCCTTCCTTCTGCTGGTGGGGAGGGCAGATCAGGACCTCGGGGTCAGAGCGTGACTCGGAAGTGCCGATGCGGCCGAGCCACTCGATGATGTCCTCCTTGCCCGCAGCGTCCCGCACCAGGCTCAGCAGCAGCTCTTGGACCGCTGGGGGCAGCTGCAGCAGATCCCCTGCATACTGGTCACCGCGGATCCAGACCAGGGCCCCAAAGGCCCTGGTCACCTCGGCCTCCCAGATCCCCCGGGGGGTGAGCAGAGCGGCAGGGCCCCAGCGCAGCCGCCCCACCAGCTCCTCCAGCCAGTTCTGGGTCATGATGAAAGACTCAGTCAGCCCCCCCACCATCAGGGAGCCAGGGGGGCCAGGCACCAGGTAGGCCAGAGTGCTCCAGCAGAGACAGTCGAGAAAGAGGCCCTGGGCCCCAAGGAAGGCGCAGTGCAGGGCCTGCGGGTAGCGAACCTCCTTCCACAGCTCCGGGCTGCACAGGCCCTTCAGATACTCCTGAAGCCACAGTGGAGAGAGGAAGCACAAAGGAAGTCATCCTTTTATGGGCTTGCACTCACTGGCTTGCACTCTCCCCTGCAAGGCCTGCCCCTCCCCAGGGACTTGTCCTACCATAATCCAATGCTGCCCCCATGGCCAGCCCCTCTCTCCTGGTCCTGCCCCCTCACACACTCATTTCTTCCCAGGGAACTCTCTGAAGAGATGAGGGAGGCACCCAGGGGAAGGGGAAAGCACCTAGGCTTGGAGTCGGGGCCCTTGCTCTAGTTCCATCTCGGCTGCACCAGGTGAGGCAGGCTAACTATGGAACTTTACCTATTTCCTGAGACCTCTGTCCTGTAAGATGGCAGGTTAAGTGAGATACCCCAGTCCTACCCTGCAATTCTAGAAAGAGGAGCCAGCTAGAAGGGGAATTGTACACTACTGAGTATCCTCCCCTTGCCAGGAACCTATGTGACCTGGGGCAAGTGATCTACCCTCCCTGTGCCTGCGATTTCTCATCTGTAAAATGGGGATAACAGTCCCCCCTCATTAGGCTAACATGAAGCTTCGATGCCTTAATACAAAGGAAGTGCTTAACCTAGAGTCTGGCTCAACCTATTCCCATTCTGCATGCTCAGAAGGGACACCTCGCTTGCCCGATGACACACAGCTACAGGCTGACGGGCCAGGAGCACAATCCACATCTGTCTGACTCTTAAACCAGGGCTCTTTCTACCTCCTCAGACTACACAGTAACCACAGGGTAATCCTGTGGGATTCTGGCTTAATCCCCCTACAGAAGGTCTCTAGCACAACCCATATCTATAACCATGGTAACTCTGTTGCCCAGAGGGAAGAGGAGAAGGAGGTAAGTCACTGGGCCAGCATCTAGGGGAGCCCCACAGATATGCATGATGGCTGAACCAGAACGAAGGCCTCTGGCTCTCTGGGCAGACCATCTCCTCATGTTTACAGGCCTCACACACTCAGGCTTCAGCAGCCGCTGGGAGGGGACAGGTTGGAGCTCTCCCCTGCACGACTAAGCTATACCAGCATGGCCCCATGAGTTCCAAGGGAGCATGGACATTCCCACTTCATCAGCCAACCTATGTCGATTACACTCGCCCTCATATCCCTCCTGTCCCTCCACATCCCCATCTCCCTGACTGTCATCCCTCTTCCTCTTTTCCCCTAACAGTTCCATTAGGGAGCAAAGGCTCCATTTTAGATCTCCAGCAGCTGTTCTGAAGACCACTCCAGCCCCTTGCTCAGAACCGTGCTTACCTCTTCCACCTGCGCTGGGCCACAGGCCTCCAACCCCTTCCCCAAAGGGCCTAAAATACACCTAGGCACTTAGGCCCAGGTCTAACCCCTTCGAGATCAGTCCAAAACCAGCTCAAAACCTGATAGACATCCCCAGCCATCCCCTCCCACCCAGAACCTCAGCCGGTCCCACTGCCCAGCAGGGTGAATCTGACCAGGAGCAGGATAACTGTCACAGACCTTAACCAATCCCCACCCCAGCACCCTACATTCCAATTACTTGAAAAACAATATGTAAAAATGAAGAAACATGCTAGAGAAGAAGACTGTGGGTGGTTTCTTCTCTTTGTGCAAAGAGCTTAAAATAGTTATTGTTCCATTAACTGTTCAATATTTTTTAAAAGATAGATTAAAAACTAAGACCATTTCCAAATAATAAATGTGAACTAATATTCACTGAATACTTACTGTGTATCAGGCTTATATACACATGATCTCATTTATTCCTCTCTCAGCCCTAGAAGGAAATGGCTACCATCCCCATTTTAGATGAGCAAAGAAGGGCACAAGTCCAAGGTTACACAGATAGTGGGCTGGGATACTCAGGCACTCTGACTCCAAAGTCTGGGGCCTTAGCCACGGGGCTGTCTATACCATTCAGCAAAAAAAGGTAAAGAAACAACAGAGTTGTAAGTTCGAGCCCCATGTTGGGTATAGAGATTACTTAAAAATAAAATAAATAATAAATAAAATGTAAAAGTAAAAACAAATAAATAAAAAGGCAGACTGAGGCAAAGTTGTTTGAGGAGTAGTTAGAGCCGGGAGATCAACCAGCCCCTCACACGAAGGCTGGGCAAGTACCTCCACACACTGGGAGGTTTGCTCTCTAGACAAACTAGCAGGCGAGAAACAAGGTCCCGGGATTAGAGGTTCATCACCATACTTGAGGGTATGCCAGCAGCCAGACCGTGACCCTCCAGAACAGAGAACAGAGAAATACATTCTGAAAATCAGGCCAGCCAGAGAGACCTGAAGATCACCAAACAGGCTCCCTGATAGACAGCGCCCTCAGGTCTCTGCACAAACAAGTTCAAAACCAACAAGAGTCAGCCTCGTGCAAGGATTACCATGACACATGGGAAAAGCTTCTAATGTGAAATAAACACACAGGGGCGCCTGGGTGGCCCAGTCCATTAAGCATCCGACTCTTGATCTCAGCTCAGGTCTTGATCTCAGGGTCAAAAAAAAGGAAAGATGGAAGGAAAAAAAAAAAAAAAGAGAGAGAAGAAAACATACAGAAGGGGGCAGGGGAAATTTTGAAGGAAGAGAAACAAGGCAGAGAGAAGAAAACTTCAAAACATTTACTATCATTGCTCTCAGGGAGATAATATACAACACTGGCACATTAAACAAGAATAGGATACTATTTTTTTTTCAAGATTTATTTTTTTGAGAGAGAGTGTGTGTGCAAGCTGGGAGGGCTGGCAGAAGGAGAATCCTCGGGCAGACCCTGGTGAGTGTGGAGCCCGAGGCAGGGCTTAATCCCAGGACCCTGAAACCACAACCTGAGCCATAACCAAGAGCCAGCCGCTTAACTGATTGAACCACCCAGTCACCCCTTTGAAAAGAGAATTCAGAGAAACATAAGTGACATTTTTTTTAAAGATTTTATTTTTAAGTAATCTCTATATCCAATATGGGGCTCAAACCTACAACCCGAGATCAAGAGTCACATGCTCCACCAACTGAGCCACTCGGGCACCCCCATAAATGACTTTAAGATATTAAAAAATATGATGGCAGTGGAGCACCCAACTCTTGATTTCAGCTCAGATCATGATCTCGGGGTCATGGGACGGAGCCCAGGTCAGGCTCCATACCCAGTGAGGCGTCTGCTTGAGATTCTCTCCCTCTCACTCTGCCCCTACCCCCTCCCAAATAAATATATAAGATCTTTTAGAAAATTAAAAAATAAAAAGGTTGGAAGATAAACTTCAGGAAATATCCAGAAAACAGAGCAAAAAGTCAGAATTGGAGAACAGGAGAAAAAATAAGAATAAGTACACCAGGCCAGAAAGCTCAATGTCTGAAGAGGAGTTCCAGAAAGAGAGGATAGAGAAAACACAGAGGGGAGAATCATCAACAAAATAGTTTCTGAAAATTTTCTAGATCTGAAGAACATGAGTGTCCAGACAGGCCCACAGAGCACCACAGTAGTAACTGAAGATGGATGAGACAGACCCAAACAAAGGGTTCCTACTGAGAAACCTCAAAACAGCGGGGACTATACAAACTTCCAGAGGGAAGACATTTCACACACAAAGGACCTGGGTCCTGAAGAGCTTCGGATGTCCCAAAAGCAAGAAGTCAATGGTGTAAGGCCTCTGCATTTCTGAAGGAAAATAATTTTCCATTTATAATTCAACAGCAACCAAACTATCAATATCAAGTGGTCTTCAGACCGCCTATGTAGATATGCAAATATGCATACCATTTTACCTCCTATAAAACCTTTGGGTTAGTTGGGGCGCCTGGGTGGCTCAGTGGGTTAAAGCCTCTGCCTTCAGCTCAGGTCATTATCCCAGGCTCTCTGCTCAGCAGGGAGCCTGCTTCCTCCTCTCTCTCTGCCTACTTGTGATCTCTGTCTGTTAAATAAATTAAAAAACAAAACAAAACAAAAAAACACCTTTGGGTTGGGGGAGGGGGCTTTCTCGGGAAGCTACTGGGGAATATCTTCCAGCTAATCAACTAAGGCAACCAAGAAAGGACCTCGGAAGAAAGCAAAGAATCTCCAGGACGACGACAGACAAAGACAGATCTTAGAATGGATCCACCCATTCAACAAATCGTCACTGAGCACCTACTAGGTGCCGGCCACTGTTCTAAGAGCACAAGCATCCGTAGGCAAGGGGGACAGCTAGTTTGGTCTAGAGGGTCAGACTCAAGAGACAAGCTTGTTGAGAGCAGTCACCAGCATACCCTTCAGCACTGTACCATCTTTCTCACTTGATGACACCACTGATGGATGTGCTCCACCAACCCAAGAAAGAAAAAGACACGCAGTCCAGGAAACAAGGCATTTAACAAAGAAAAAAGGCAAATGATGCCAGGGACAGCAAACTGAAGTCTCGGATGCCAGCTGTGCAGTCCTGGCTAGACAGAAAGATATCTTCAAGAAAAAAGCTACACCCTGAGCGCATAGATTGACCTTCTAGAAAACTGTAGTGAGAGGCTACTGAAATTGTAAGAATTGGCTACAGGTACAAAGGAAAACCAGCAAATTGAAAAATAAGGGGTTCCTGCCTTAGTGAAGCACAAAAGTCAGAAAGAAAACATAAGCAGAATACAGGGCAATGCCCAGATGTGAGTGACGCAGGTTTGACCAGAAAACTGAAATATATAATTCTATTGGGAAAAAAGAAAGGATGGCGATGTAAGGGACTAAAAAAACTAATAGTACACTATCTGTTATTTAATTGAACTTAAATTTTAAAAAGAGAAAAATACATGAAAAAAATTAAACCAATTAATCAAAAGATAATATACATACATACATATGTGTGTATATGTGTGTGTGTGCATATATATATATATATATATATATACACTATTTTTTTTTAGGAATGTGGAGATGAGGAAATGCCAAAGGGAGTACTGTCTAGGAGGAAGAGCACAGAAGAGGCAGTTGGGAGGGACATAGCAGGGAATCACAGTGTCCTATTGTCTGCTTTCTGAAAAGTACTGGACTTTTTAATTGTGCATTACCTTTATAGAAGAAAAATTAAGTTTAAAAAAAGAGAGAGAGATTAGTTGCCCAAAACACAATTAGGGGTGCTGGTAAGAGATTGACAATCAGCCCCTGGGGGCGGTGGGGTGGGGGGGTGGCGCGATGATAGCCCCGATTTGTAGCATTTGACAATTTCTATGGCATAAATACTCCCACAATGGCTGATTTCAAACTACCAGTGGGGTGACACTGGTTTGCAAACTTCCTGAAACGTTAGTAGGGATTAGTAGCACCCAGCTCCAGCATATCCCTGGCCACCAACTTCCATGTGATTTGCTTACGGGAGTGGATCAAGGGACCTATCAGCTTCCATCTGACAATCCAAGCCCAAAGTCAGCAAACCACACCCTGCCCCACAGCTCTCTGAACCCAGTCTCTGGTTCCTCCTCCCCTCCCTCCACCATCTCCAGAAAGGAGGCATCTCCAGAAAGGAGGAAAGTGAAATGTCACCTCTCCTCTCTGTGCTCAGTGCTTCCTTGCCATTGTCAAGGACAGAGCGCTGAGCAGGGCTTGTCCGTGGGAAACTCATATCACTATTAAAACTCTCCTTTCAGGGACGCCTGGGTGCCTCAGTCAGTGAAGTATCTGCCTTTGGCTCAGGTCATGATCCCAGGGTCCTGGGACCCAGTCCCGCATCGGACTCCCTGCTTGGTGGGAAGCCTGCTTCTCCCCCTGCCTGCCGCTTCCCCTGCTTGTGCGTGCTCTCTTGCTCTCTTTCTCTAACAAATAAATAAATAAAATCTAAATAAATAAATAAATAAAACCCTCCTTTCCACTTGCAGATCTCACCTCAGAGAGGCCAGGCTCCCCCAGTGTTTGTTTTTTGCCACTGGGAAGGTGATTTCTGGCAAATGACTTCATTATTTCTTAAATCCCACCACAAGATAACAATTTAAAGATACTCGAGTTCTACAGACATTTTCCTGGAAAGTCAGTGAGTATAATTCAGAAACATACCCAGGCCCTCCTCCAGATGAGCCTGTCTCCTTCACCCCTCCTCCCCTCCCCATCCAGCCACCCCCATGCTCACCCCTCTCCCATCCGTCAGCCTCTGGTCTCACTAGGTCCTCCCTGCCCATTGGCCTGAGTATCACAGCACGTTATCAAAGTACAGGCTTCGGTGTCCCCACAGCTGGGATTAGAGTCAGCCCCAGCACCTCCACATGGAAGCCACAAGACATCATTAGACTTGAGAAATTGTCACGGATCATATTGCTTGACCCTGGGGAGCATTTCGTCTTACTTTAATTTCAGCTTTTCATTTTACAAACAAGGAGACTGAGAATAAGAGACAAAAGCACTCGTTCAAAGTTGTACAGTAATAACTGACATCTGTGGGTGACTGGGTGGGTCGGTTCGGCGCCCGGCTCTTGGTTTCAGCTCAGGCCACCAGCTCAGGGTCCTAGGATGGAGGCACCTCCCCCACCCCCATGGAGCCCTCGATGGGGAGTCTGCTTGAGGATTCTCTTCCTCTTCCTCTGCCCCTCCCCCCCAAATAAATAAATCTTTAAAAAAGAGTAAAAATAACTGACATCTATATCACATAGCTCTCCACGTTTGCGAACATTCTTTTTTTTTTTAAGATTTTATTTATTTATTTGACAGAGAGAGATCACAAGTAGGCAGAGAGGCAGGCAGAGAGAGAGAGAGAGAGAGAGAGAGAGAGAAGCAGGCTCCCCGCTGAGCAGAGAGCCCGATGCGGGACTCGATCCCAAGATGCTGGTATCATGACCTGAGCTGAAGGCAGAGGCTTAACCCACTGAGCCACCCAGGTGTCCCCACATTTGCAAACATTCTTAAGCCTGCATTATTTCAGCAGACTCACAACCCCTCCATGATATGGGTGTTATATTATTATTTTATAGATGAAGAAATAGGCTCCAGAGAGAGTCAATTATTTGACCCAGGTCACCCAGTTAGAGGCTAGAAAACCCTGATCTCAAATTCTCTCTGCCACATTCCTCAGTCCCAGACACAGCTTGGTGACAACAGGTTGAGCCCAGATCTCCTGAGTCCTGGGACAAAGCCTTATCCTCCCTCCCACCCTCCCTGCTCTCCTGCTCCAAACCTCCAACCGTCTCTTCTCTCTGCTCATTTTGTGCAATAAGAGAGGGACTAACCTAGAAGACCCTCATGTTCTATTTCCATCTTAAACAGGGCCTTTCCCTGAGGGAAGACAAAGGGGAAGGAGGTAACAGGTAGGGGAATCAAGAAAGCCACTGGTTACATTAGCAGGGCCTGGGGTGTGAGGGAGGGAGTGGCCCACGGAACCCTGAGACAGTAGTAGGAGCAGGAGCAGACAGGTCTAGAGAAGCTGATCCAGGATTTAAAGCAAGGGGCAGGAGCGCTAGGCACCTCTGAAAATACAAATCAAAAGGGTGAGTTGTTCTATTTCAAATTAATAAAAAGATTAAGAATTGGGGTGCCTGAGTAGCTCAGTTGGTTAAGCATCTGCTTTTGGCTCAGGTCATTTTCCCCTGAGTCCTGGGATCGCGCCCCGAGAGCCCCTAGCCCCGAGTGGGGCTTCCTGCTCTGCGGGAGCCTGCTTCTCCCTCTCCCTGCCATTCCCCCTGCTTGTACTCTCTCTCTCTCTGTCAAATAAATAAATACAATCTTTAAAACAAAAAATAAAATAAAATAATAAAAAGATTAAGAACCCAAAACAACCCTAAAGGCTCCTCTTGTTAGCCCACCCCATTCTAGCTACGGAAAAGTCTGAATCTCAGGGGCTCCAGCCCATCCATTCTCTGGGCAGGCACCCCTCCCATCCCCCTGCACCTCTGTCAGAACTGGAAAAACTGCTGACCAAGCAGCTCAGTGGAGGGGCTGAGGGAGGAACTTTCCAGCCTGCCTGCCTGCCACTGGCCAGTGTATTCTGGGCTCCCCCACCCATGGCCTTGACCAATTAGGATATTGGCATGGACCCAGCTGGAGAAGGGGTGTGTGTTGAGGGGATGGGGGGTGAGAGGTGCAAAGGAAGTGGGTGACCTGGGACCCAGGGAAGCTGCAGCATTCCTACCAGGAAAAGATAAAGGAATCTAGAGGAAGAGGGAGACCTTGGCCATGACTGGGAGTTAGAGGGAACCTGAGAGGCCCAAGTGGAGAAGCTTGAGAGAGAAGCCAGAGAGAATGCAAGAGAGGTTCACTGTGACCTACCCTGTCCAGCACCCAGCCCCACACAGCAACCCCTTTCATCTGAAAGCCCATAGCCCTCCTCCAAGATTCCCACCCATCCCCAAGGACTGCTGTCTTCCAGAGCATCTGCATGCACACACACACACACACACACACACACACCAGCCCCTGCAAGAGGCTGCCTAGGGCATCAAGAGTGTGGGGCAGGGAACCCAGAGCCCTGGGTTCTGATTCCAGCACTTGCCACCCTCCCCCCATCCCCACTTGACACTGTGAGGTCATGCAAGCCCCTTACCCTCTCCAATCCCCAATACCACATCTGTAAAATGCCAGCATTGCTCTAGAAGGGTCTCTAAGGGCCCCTCCTGTCCAGCACTCTGAGGGGCTCCAAGGGGGCAGCCCAGGATTTAAGGAGACTTAAAAGGAAACAGAAGGACCTGCGCCTTCCAGCTTCTTGGTAGAGAACAAAGAGGTACTGCAGAGGCCATAGAAATGCTAGACCTGGGCGCCTGGGTGGCTCAGTGGGTTAAAGCCTATGCCTTCGGCTCAGGTCATGATGACACAGTCCTGGGATCGATCCCCGCATCAGGCTCTCTGCTCAGGGGGGTGCCTGCTTTTCCCCCCCCCCCCCCCCCCCCGCCTCCTCTGCCTGCCTCTCTGCCTACTTGTGATCTGTCAAATAAATAAATAAAATCTTTAAAAAAAAAAAAAAAGAAAGAAAGAAAGAAAGAAATGCTGGACCTTAAGTTGTTCCCCAGATGAGGGAGCAGGCTATGGATGCTGGGGTCCTGGCCATGTAAGGCTCATGGGGGAACACACACCATGGAGGCTCTCTCAGCGCACTTGAGAGACAGAAGTGACATGCAGGAGAGGGGTGAGGCCGAAAAGAAAAAGGGAACCAGAGGAAGGAACCAAGGCTGCAGACCTGGAAAGACAGGAGACTGGCCCACTACCTGCCCGCGATAGTGCCTAATCCAGGTCGAGGGACCTCTGGGGACCCCTGCCTCCCCTGGGCAGGGGAGCGTGAGAGGAGTCTGGCTGGAAGGGGCGGGTGGGGGTAGGAACGAGCTGTTTACCTTGGCTTTGCTCATGTTCTCCTTGGGCCCCTCGAGCTGCAGCCAGAAGTAGGGGGTGTCTGGGCGGCTCTGGAAGGCGTTCAGCTTGACCCTGAAGATGCGCTGCACTTGCAGCCGCTGCCGCTGAACTCGGGGCTTTGATTTGGTCTGCACCATGAACCATTCCTGCGCCGGAGGGTCGCCCCCTGACAGGAGCATGGCTGCCCCGCCCGTCGCTGGAAGGAGGGCGCCGACAGTGTCACCGGGCTCCCAGCGCGGGAGGCACCCCAGCCGAGTGCCCGAGGAGTCCAGGCCACGCCCCCTCCTGCGAGGGGCGCGCCCCCCCGCCGGGGCCGCGGTCCTCCCGGCTAGCTTACCCTACCGCCACCGCCCGGGTGCCGGTCCGCCCGAGCTGCGTCCCTTTTGGCGGCGTCTCCCGCGACAATCTCTTCCTGCCAGGGGCTGCAGCTGGGGGTGGGACCGCTGGGGCTCCCGCCGCCCTTCCCTCCGCCCCCAGCCTTTCCCCTTCACCACTGCGCCAGCCCCCGCAAGATGAACCCTCTCTCCGCCCCCCGGGTGGCTAGAAGGGGCGCGGAAGGCCGGGGGAGGGGGCGACGAGGTGGGGGGAAGGGACGGGAGGGTCCTCGAAACCTCCGCCTTCCACCCAAGATTTAGGCCGCGAGCCAGAATCAGGGGTCAAAGTTAATTTCCTTCCACGTTCCCCTTTCCTGGGTGGAAGGAAGAGGAAGGGGAAGGAGGGGCGTTCGGTGCGGGAGAGGGGGCTTGGTTTCTGGGACTTTCTCCCAGCTCCTCCCACCGCGCCCCTCCCAGCCCTCGCAGGAGTAGCGGACCGGTGCCACTCCTCCCCCTGCACCACCCTACCCAAGGAAAGGGTTAAGGGAGAGCAGGGTGGGGAGCGGGGGAGGCCGGGGCCTGAGGAAACTCCGGGCTGGAAACCTAGCAGGAAGCTGAGAGAAACGGCACCGCCTCCCCACCCCACCCCACCCCCAAGTCTGGGGACAGCCAGCCGCGGCTGGCCGACAGCCCAGACCCTCCTGAAGCCCCCAGGGCTGGAGGGGCGGGAGAGCCGCCCGAGTTTTCAGACTCGCGTTGTTTATGAAAGCCCCTTTTAGCGAATTTCAGTAATGCCGGGAGGGGAGGCTCCAGGATTGGAGTGAGGGTCTGGCCTGGAACGCCGCCTTTGAGGGTTCCCTCAACCCTTGACCCACAGCCAACCATTTGGCATCAGCGGTCAGGGAGCAGCTCTGGGCTGGGGGAGGCCAGCCTCCAGCACCCCGCGCCAGAGGCATCACTGGCACAAAGAACACCTTATGCAGCCCTGCAGCCTGAACAACCTAGCTCTGTGGAAGGGCACAGTCTGGGTCCTGGGCTTCGGTGACTTTTATTTTACAAACCCCAAATGAGACCAGTATTCCAACAGGCACAAGTGTACCTATGGGGAAGGGCAGTGGACTTTAATTTTAGGCCGGCCCTGGAACATCTGGACTGCCTGGGCCATGACATAACTGTGTGCATGAAGATGAGGGGCGGAGAGCACCCCACTGCAAGGAAAGGGCCCAGCTGGGGAGAGGACGGGGCTCATACCACTCTTAGTCTGGACTGGACACAGCCCATCCTGTCCCAGACCACCCCGACTCCTGCTGCTTCTCCCTAGACTGGAATCCAGAAAAGGAGGAGGTGATGAGCCGCCTCTGGCTCCACAGCCTTCTGCTCAGGCCCCATCTGATGTCCCTGTCCTGCCCTTCTAGAGCACCTGGAAGCAGACCCCCAGGGTGAACGTCAGGTCCTCTCTGCTCTCTTCCTACCTCTGTCTGCTCTCCGTTGATCAGAAGAGGCTCCTGCCTCTTCTCCTCGGAAGCAAGGTGAGAGCCACCTACCCCTGGTCCTCACTAATCCCTGAATAAATACAAAACTCTTGTTGACCTTTTCCAGCTGACTGTGGACCCCACGCACAGTGGCATCTTCAGGTTCAAGGGGCCATGTGGAGGATGGAAAGAGGTCAGGTTTAAGAGTCAGGTACTTGATAAATGGATCAAAGAGGGTAATTTATGTAAATTCTTGTGATTGAATTTCTTCAGCTCATAAAAATGGGGATAATAATCCCTACAGCACAGGCTGTAGATCTGACCGTACAGGGACCACACCTAACACATTTTCTGGCACAGAATAGATACCTGATACATTTTAATTTTCCCTCCCTAGATCTTGTCTCTTGTCCCCACCTCACCTCTGGCCCATATGTCACCAGAGCTTCCCAGAGATCCCCTCTTTCCCACTGTCAGCAGCCTGGCTCCTGGATGGGGCTTTCCTCACCCTTCCTGCTAACCCATCCCCTCCTTCTGCTTCTCCTCCTGGATATAGTCAATTTAATTAAATAGCCTGGCTCCAGTCCTGACTTCACCAGTGATGAGTTGTGCACGATTAAGCAGGTAGCTGAGTCCTTGACCTCTCTGGCCTTCCTCATCTAAATTCATTCACTGGGCCAAATCCATTCACTCCTTCAACAAATTCAGTACATCTTTATTGTTTACTCTAAGCCAGGTCCTGGGAGTATAGCATTGACTAAATTAACTCCTGGCACTCATGGACCAGGAGAAGAAAGAAGAAGAAAACAGCTGTGATGTCAGGGGATGGTAAGTATTCTAGAGGAAAGAAAGTAAGTTGTGCTGATGAAGTGCCAGATGGGGCCTCGCTGGTGAAGAGGAGAGTTCAGCTAGAGGGAGAGCAGGAATGGGCACTGAGATGATAATGTACAAAGCTCTTAACAATTTTTGATCCAAGCCTCCCCCAGCATGAATCTTTAGTGATTCCTTGCCTCCAACATAGGTTAAGACTTGCTCGATTGTGTTAAGAGGCTTTCCTTGCCCTGGCCCAAGTCTACCTTCCCAACCTTGCATGGAAGGCTCCCAGCTCAAGTTAAGGAGAATTTGATCTGTCTGGGCATGTCTGGCAACAGGAAAGCTCACCCTGCCAGGAGCCTGTTTGAAAAGGAATGAGAAGCCTCCAGAAAAAGATAGAGATTAAAGGAGGGGCCTCCCCGGGAGCCTGACAGATAGGCCTTTTCCAGTTGCTGGAGGTGGGGGTGGGGAGCCTTGGGATCCAGGCAGCCTGCTTGGGACCTTGATGTGGGAGTAACCCAGAGCAGAGACAGGCTTCTCCCTGACTTTGCCAGAATCCTGAGCAGCTTGCCCTCTCCCACTGGAACAGAAGTGGCTTCCCAGAGGCACAAAGAATGGTCAGGACGTAAGGTTGTTCCAAATAACCACGCAGAGGCAAGAGCCAAAGAAATGGGATTTACTCAAGGAGAGAGCGATGGCTCCCCATATTGGTCATGAAACACATGGTCCCGTCAAAAGGAATGGCTAAAGGAAGTTTACAGAATGGATCTTTATGGGGATATGGGCAGGGTGAGGGAAAACCAGTAAAAGGTTCTAGGGCTAGTGTGGGGGAAGCTGTTACCACCATAGGCCTGAAAGGGAAAGGGGAAGAAGTGGTTACTGGCACCAACTAATGGACCAGAGCTGGAGCTGTAGAGGGCCACAAGACAGGAGCTGTGGCCTTAGGTAAAGACGAACAGCCACTGACAAGCTGTGACCCAGCGTGGAGGGAGCAGACTTCCAACTTGCTGCCAGTGACTGGCATTGGCCAAACTCGGATGGAAGCCAAAGGGCAAAGAAGTAGGGTGGCGGCAAGGCCATTGAGGTCAGCCTGCTGGACACTGGGCAGGACGTTGGAGAGCAAAGAGGAGAAATAGAAGGGACACAGAATGGCCAGCATACCCCTTTGTCTGTAACACCGTAGAATGATGAGGCCCAAGGAAATTGGGGACGCATTAATTTCTCCTGCTTTTCCCCTCACACACCCTCTCAGCAATAGGATGAATGTCCCCGCACTCCCGCTCAAAACAGGGGGCTCAGGCTCACACTCAGACTCGCCTTCAAATCCCAGCTCTGTCTCTCTATGAGCATTGCAAGCTGCCACAAACCAGGGGGGTGGCTTAAAACAATGAAAACGTATTCTCTCGCAGTTCAGGAAGCTAAAAGTCTGAAATCAAAACACAACACGTAAAGCCACCATTAGCAACCGAGTGCATGAATAGACAAACTGTTGAGTGGAATAGACCAACAATGTAGAAAAGAAGAGCAACTGCGCACTGAAATTTAGTGTGTGACAAGGATAGCCTTTCGGTCCGTGAAGATAAGATGAATTTTCCATAAAGATCTTGGGACAATGGGGTAGCCTTCTGAGCTAAAATAAAATATCCACACCTCACCTCGTCCACCAAAACAAGTTCCTGAAAAATCACCTATTTAAATATTGAAAAAGAAATCAGGGCGCCTGGGTGGTTCAGTGGGTTAAAGCCTCTGCTTTCGGCTCAGGTCTTGATCCCAGGACCCTGGGATCAAGCCCCACATCATGCTCTCTGCTCAGTGGAGAGCCTGCTTCCACCTCTGTCTCTGCCTGCCTCTCTGCCTACTTGTGATCTCTATCTGTCAAATAAATAAATAAAATCTTTAAAAAAAAAATCATAAAAATACTGTAACCATGGGAGAATGTTTTTATTATTATATTTGGGAGAAGCATGCTTTTCTAAGAATGACACCAGATCAGAAGTCATCAAAAACGTGTTTAATACATTCGGTTACGTAGGGGCGCCTGGCTGGCTCAGTCCGCAGGGCAAGTGACTCTTGAACTCTAGGTTGTGAGTTTGAGTCCCAAGCTGGATGTAGAGATTACCTGAAAATAAAATCTTAAAAAAAAAAAAAGAAAGAAAGAAAATACATGGGCTCCTGGGTGGCTGAGTCGGTTAAGCGTCTACCTTCTGCTCAAGTCATGATCTCAGGGTGCTGGGATTGAGCCCTGCATGGGGCTCCCTGCTCAGCAGGGAATCTGCTTCTCCCTCTCCCTCTTCTGCTTCCCCTGCTTGTACTCTTTCTCTGTCTGTCTCTCTCTCTGTCAAATAAATAATCCTTTAAAAAAATACATTCAGTTACATAAATGTATTTTTTTTCCCACGGGAAAATAAACCCCATAAGCAGAGTCAACAGACAAATGAAAGCCAAGAAAACTGATTTGCCAATTATATCCAGACCAAGAGCTGATTTCCTTGATATTTCAACAGCTCCTACAAATCAATAAGAAACAGACTAACTCAATAGAAAAATGGACAAAGGATATAAACAGTCCACAAAGGAGGAGATATAAATGGTTCTTAAACATATGAAAAGATGCTCCCTTTCATTCTTGATAAGAGAAATCCAGATCAAAACTATGGCAAGATTTTTCACCTACAGAGTGGCAAAAATCAGCAATGTTTGCTATTAAA